TTTATTATTATAGTCTCATTTAAATCTTCACAGCAATCCTATGACGTGATTAGAATGATTTCCTCTTGAGTGGTGGGAATGCAAGTCTCTGAGCTTTAACCAAATGACTAAGAAATGTTGAAACTTAAACGCACGCCTTGTTTCTTTGTTTCACATTTATTCATTCACTTGTTTAATAAATATTTATCATTTATTCATTCATTCAGTAAATATTTATCATGCATTCACTATGTCACACTGTAATACATGGGGACACAGAAGTCCCATGGTTTATGGTTTTATAACATTCAGCCTAAATATTTTTAGAGAGCTGAAGGAGCTTGATATGAAACTAATTGGAAGATGTGCTAAATGTAAGAACTCAATAATTTAAGCAAATTTATTTTACAATACAAGATTTGGAAGTTAGCAATCAAGGTTGTCCTATCATAGTCAACAGGATTATGCCCTGAAGGAAGGTGCCTGGCCCGGGAGTGAGCAGAGTCTGAAATCCAGTCCATGCCTCCCTTGTTAAGCGTGTGTGCGTGAACACAGAATTGTGTCAGCCCTGAGGTAGTGCCTTTTCTAGTTCTCTGAAAGGCTGTTCTGCCAGCCTGGTAGTATAATGTCCCTATCATTACTTGTCACAATAGTTCAAGCGACCTCTACTTAAAATCATAGTGATTGTGGCAGACTGCCTCTGAGACGTTTCCTGTCCGTAACAGAATCACCATGATTCTCCAGAGGCTCTTCACGTTCTCTTCTCTCATTCGGTCTGCAGTCTCAGTTCATTTGAGGAGGAACATTGTTGTTACAGCGGTGGCATTTAATAAGGAACTTGATCCTGTACAGAAACTCTTCGTGGACAAGATTAGAGAATACAGAACTAAGCGACAGGCATCTGGAGGACCTGCTGATACTGGCCCAGAGTACCAGCAAGACCTAGAGAGGGAGCTTTTGAAGCTTAAGCAAATATATGGTAAGGCAGACATGAATATGTTCCCGGACTTCAAATTTGAAGACCCTAAATTTGAAATCATGGAAAAACCCAGTCCTGAAGAAAGAATGTAAAATTGATTTGGTAATTTGTCCTAGATTAGTTGTACAACTGTATCAGAATAAACATACATTTCTCAGCAAAAAAAATAATAATAATAAATAAAATAAAATCATAGTAATTGTAATTCAAGTTACATAACTACAGTGGTTCCAACTGAGAATCTTTGTAGTGAGATCTTTTTTTTTTGAAATGGAGCGAATGCTCTGTCCAATTTCCCAAAAAAAGCATTTTTAGAAAAGTTTTGGTAGCAAATAATGCACTTGACCCATTTTAGTTAAAGATATTATATGGGAAAATTGTTCCCAAGTACTAGACTACTAATTGTATTTGGGCAGTAATGTGCCCAGATTCAGTTTCTGTGAGCCTCATTTGCAATCACAGATTAGATTCAGCTCATTAATTAACATGAGAGATCCATGCACTTTCAAGTGTTAAAATTTTTGCCTTTTCAAGCCCTAAAACCGTATAAAATGCTAAAGTGTTGTTATTATTCCACTCCAATTACAAGGTCTTCAGAGGGTGAGAAAATAGCCTGGAGGGGAAACCTTCAATCCATTTCAGCATTTTCCCCTCCACTGGCATTTATGAGGAGGATTGCCAAGAGATGGCCCAGGAGACACAGGGCTGGGAGCTTCAGGGAGGCCTAACGCAGCTGCCGAGTGTGAGGTCCTGGAACCTGAATTCCCGACTTCCAGGCTGAGTCAGGAGGGCCCCACCTCTTCTCTCCAGGCGGTCTACCTTTCCACACCCTTCCTCTCCAGCTCTGTTTTCCTCTTCCCTCCCTTTCTGCAAAGTCTTTCTAAGTCAGGATCTACTTCCTGGCTGATGACTTTCCCTGACCTCCGGTCTCTGCCTTTCCCAGCACATGGGGAAAACACCACCACCAGCAGCCACAAAATACTTTCTCCTGTTCCTAAAGTTTTACTCTCCTCATTTCTCTCAAGCTTTCTTTGTTTCATTAAGCTCCACTGTTGGAAAGTACACTTAGACACCTGCGTTCCTTAATTTTTAAGAGTTGCTTCCTAGCAATGCTTTAAGGATTCACCATAAGAGACAGGGTGCCCCTTTCAGGAGAGGGTCTCCATTTTCTTCAGGTTCTGCTCTTAAACGTTTTCTTTCCTTCTTCACTTGGCCCCAGTCCACTGCTGATGGCAAATAGCCAGGGGCTGAAGAGGGACACTGAGATCAGGGTGGGACTATGATCTCAGTGGTCTCTTCATTTAAGCCTCTACCTTAAATGCCCTTCAAGATGGGACAACTCCTCCCAAACAACAAAACAGAACAATCACCAAATAAAAAGACCCAACTGGGTCTTTGCTGTTTGTGTTGAAGAAGAGAATATTCTGACCCCTCCAACCCTCTTCATCCCCTGCTTTAGTCCAAGCTCGCCTTTCAAAAATCGGGGATGATTTCCATATTCAGTACAAGCATATGGTGTGCAGTGGCCCACAGATTTTAAAGCCAGATGGTGGTAACAATGGAGATGCTGACCTTATTAAGTAACCTTGAGCGAGAACCTCAGAATCGTAGTGTCTGACCATTGACAGCTGAACTCACTCCTACAGGCTGTTCTGCATAGACATAGAACACAACTGCTTTTAACTTCTCTGTATCATTTTCCCCATCTATTAAAATGGATGTTTGGGGGCACCTGGGTGGCTCAATCGGTTAGGCGTCTGACTCTTGATTTCAGCTCAGGTCATAATCTCAGGGTCGTGGGATCAAACCCCGTGTCAGGCTCCGTGCTTAGCAGAGTCTGCTTCTCTCCCTCTCTCTTTCCCTCTGCTCCTCCCCATGCACTCTCTCTCTCTCTCAAGTAAATAAATAAATCTTTTTAAACAGTGGATGTTTTGGTACATTATCAATCACATCAATTTTCTTCAAAGGTGGTCTTAAACCATCATTTAAATGATGGTTCTTAATTTAGCTTTTAAAGTTTTAAAAAATTGACTGAAGTCAACTATTTAGATTACTTTTTTCTCCTCTGTTTCAATAATAAGTAGCTTCATACATGTGACTCATGTAATTCAAGCTTGTGCAGGAAGGTAGTACAGACATTTTGATATATTATTGGATAGATGTAAATTGCTTAGACTCAGAATCCCAAATTAAGATAAGCAAGACAGTGCTGGCGCCACCGAGGTGTACTCTGTAAGTAGCCTAGAGGGAAAGTGGATTAAATAGTATTAACCTATTGAAAGTGAAAGTGTAAGCAATTTCGCTTCATAGTTTCTAAAGGAATGTGCCCATACATCATGGAAAGCTTTCAGAACTTTCAGACACAGGAAACGGATTTCATATCTGAGAAACTTAATTTATGGTAATTTTACAGCATCAATCCAAAACTCATAAATCCAAAATGTTAAATGTTTAATAGTATGAAGGGGGGGAGAAAGAGTTGAAAATAAGATTACTTCTTTCTAAAACTTAAGAGCAAAGAAAAAAGTGAAAAATCTTAAAGGTGAGATGCCTCTCAAATTATTTAATTCTATTTTTTTAAGTTAATTTAAGCAGAGGCCGGGCTAACAGCCCAGTGTTCTGACCTGCTGTCCCGTAGATTTTACATTAGGATGAGATAAACGGAGGGCCACAATAAGCTCATCAAGTTTTCAGTATTGGGGACACGTTCTTAATAAGTCATGTAACAGCAGTAAATCTAAATTTGATGTTTTGTTTCGCTAAAGCTAGAAGGTTTTCAATTTACATAAAGAAGTGACTTAACTGAAGACTAGGAGAAGAAGCCATGAAAAGAAATGAACTTGGAATGTTCTCAGAGGGAAACGAGTATGAAGGGGAGGCAGAGTAAATGTCATTGGTACATGTCCTATGAGCATCATAGGCAGACTCGACTCCCGGCTGCTTGAACGCACAATAGGGTAATGAGTTGTCAGATGTGATTCTCCAACACAGCAACCGCAGAGCAGACTTCTGCAATAAAGCCTTTGTGACTTTTTCTTCCTCCTAAACTCTCATTAACAACGATTGTGTTTTGCTTTTCCATCACTGAAGGAGGTTCTTTTCTCTTTCTGGCTCAAACTACAATGCATGATCCCTGTGGATCTTTTAAAATCTGTCCTTATTACTGGTTTAATATACATCCGTTCTACTCTCTGTCCAGTAGTTATAATTATTGGTTACCACTTTAAATTCATTCCCTTTAAGATTAAAATGTAAACCCTTTTTGTCGCTTGAGAAATCTTGCGAATCATCCATTTCATTGTCCCTCTCCTTTCCACCACTGCATACACATTCCCTCTCTTTTTAAATTCTTGGTTGCTCCTGGCTCTCCAGTTTCTTTTATGCCTTCCTCATTCTGAGAGCTTTTGTTTATGAGCTACCAGGTGTCTTCCATTGCCTGCTTTAAGTCCTTCTAAAGTTCAGGTTTTCCACAGGGAAGAGCGATATGTAATGATTTCATTAGCCAGAAAAGTTTGTGTTTATATGATAAATATCAAAATGTTTTATAATCTACAGGGAAAACATTTACATGATTAACTTTTTCAGTTTTTAGCAAAAATTCTCGTGCTCTAAGCACGCCCCCGTCTTCTTTACGTTGCCAATTGTTCTTTCCTGGGCTTCTAATGATTGATATTTTCGTGCTTTTATCAAGCCTCTCTCTATTTTACAGTCAAACGTCACAGCACTACTCCTAAATTTAATATGTGCCATAAATGAGCCCCATTCCGAGATGTGGTCATACAATGGCTGGAACTCTTTCTACTACTGCCACCTAGTGGTTCTCCTCCCCACATGTATTTTCCAGAAGTGTCTGGAAATTCCAATGTAGGCAGAATCCAAGAGCTAAAGATGCCCTAGTGGCAATCATAATAGTGTTATTTCACATTACACTAAAGTAACCCTTTTTAATATATTCAGGGAAGAATAGAGAAGAGACTTTACTCTTTCCCTAAAAATGAAACTCTCACGATTTCTAGGTGAGGGTTTTTAGAAATGTACCTACACGTGGACGCGTAGGGCGTGTGACGTCAGCCACGCCAGGAGCTCTTCCACCTGTGTTTGCCTCCCACCTGCAGCCACCGGCAGAGACAGCATGATTCATTAGCGATCCCGGCACCTGAGCAAAGGAAGTCAGAGGCACGTGCGTCTGGCCAAAGGGAGACACGATGCAAGATCAGCACCTGCTCACCTCAGCTCCTGCTGAGATCGAAGCAGCTACTGACCTTTACGTACTCGGAACTCTGTGCAATAGTTCTAAGTGGAGAAAGAAAACTATATTAGGTCAGTGTCCTGCGTCTCTGCCCATCTCAGGCGGCACCTGTGCGATCTTTGAGACTGGAAGAAGAGAACCAAGAGAACAAATGAAAGACCAGCATCAAGACCTCCACAGAGGGATCGCCTGGGTGGCTCAGTCGTTAAGCGTCTGCCTTCTGCTCAGGTCATGATCCCAGGGTCCTGGGATCGAGCCCCGCATCGGGCTCCCTGCTCAGCCGGGAGCCTGCTTCTCCCTCGCCCTCTGCCTGCAGCTCCCTCTGCTTATGCTCTCTCTCTCTCTCTGTGTGTCAAATAAGTAAAATAAAATTTAAAAAGACTTCCCCGGAGGTGTTTTCTTGCTCTTCTTTACTAATTAACTTATGGACATGTTAAAATTTTCCTCGTTGGTGGTAGATTTGGGTCAACACTATGTATGTCCCCAGCACCTGGCACAGTTCTTAGTATATATATATATATATAGTAGGCACTCACAAAATATTTGTTGAATGAATGAATTTCACAAATGGGAAATATAAGTGCTGCTCTGAATAAGTGAAATCAGTGGGGCCACTGGTTTGGTCTGTGAAGCAGAGTTTTATATGTTCAGACGTTTTGTATTAATTCTGCAATTTCCTATATTTCATCAAGTGATAAATGAAACCAGTTTTGAAACCTGACATCTTAATTTGGATTCTTTCTTTGCAGCTCTCCACCAAAACCCTTTGTGCCAATACAACCTGTACCGTCTATATATAATCTGCCACCTTCCAGAAGTAGAATTTCTTGACCGAAAACGTAAGGATACCTCTTGCAGAGAAATATTTGAAAGGCAGTCTTATAACTCACTAGTTTAAAAATTCTGAAAGTCTTTGAAAATAATTCTCTTTGTAAGTGAAAGTTTTTCAATGATTTATTTTTGAAATTTTTGTTCTGTGAAATTTGCCCTAGGTTAGGAATTCATTTCTCTTGATCTCTGTATTGAAAAGGCCATCTAACTGAGTGTGAGAATAGGTCTCCTCATCCTGATTTTGACATGAATGTGTTGAATGCCAAATCATCTATTCCTGGCATTTTAGTGTTTTATTTCAAAAATTAGAGAATTGGACTAAATCTCTTAAGGCTTATTTAAGTTCTAAAAATTGTATTCTTTGCAATTCTCTAAATATATATATATTAAAACTTATATATTCAATGATAACTTCTTTATGAATACATCTTAAACATTGTAGATCAACTAGTATGTCTGATTTATACAAGCCGCAAAGATAATCAACCTCACCTCATTACACTTTACATTTTGGGGGAGCCTTTTTTACCTCCAAGTATATTACCCATCTCTCTACCTACCTTTCTATCTCTATAGGTTTGAACAGTCTTTTTTTTTTTTTAAGATTTTATTTATTTGACAGATAGAGACACAGCGAGAGAGGGAACACAAGCAGGGGGAGTGGGAGAGGGAGAAGCAGGCCTCCTACCGAGCAGAGAGCCCGATGCGGGGCTCAAACCTAGGACCCCGGGACCATGACCCAAGCCGAAGGCAGACGCTTAATGACTGAGCCACCCAGGCGCCCCTCTTTTTTTTTTTTTTTTTAAGATTTTATTTATTTATTTTGACAGAGAGACATAGCGAGAGAGGGAATATAAGCAGGGGAGTGGAGGAGGGAGAAGCAGGCTTCCTGCTGAGCAGAGCCAGATGTGGGGCTCGATCCCAGGACCCTGGGATCATGACCTGAGCCAAAGGCAGACACTTAACGACTGAGCCACCCAGGCGCCCCTATAGGTTTGAACATTCTTAATAATTAACTACTAACTTCCTAATGAGGATATATAAAACCTACACTTATTCCTGTTACTCCTCACATCCCTGAGGAAATGAAGGAATGTATCATAGGTTGTGATTTCAGTCATCCATGGTGATGTGTTAGAAAGTGTTTGGGGTGCATTAGGAGTATCTGTGCCTTGTGACATGATGGCATATATTGAGCATCAGTAAGATCATGGAAATAATTGTGATTGCCCTTCACAGTTTTGACAGGGTGTTCACATATAGCATAGCCCAGATAAACACATTATTGAAAGTGTTCAATTGTATTCTGAAAGCCTCTGCATCTCTATAATGCTATGCAATAACATTACTATTTGCATTTGTCAGAAGTTACAGAAGATGAAAGAAGAGCAATGATTACTATTTTTCACCATGAAAGAACTCGTATTATTCAATCAATAGCATTCAGAGGAAGAGTAGATGCCTCGTGGGATCCTAGAGCACCATTTAAGCAAAAACCAGCCCGGAGAGTACCTCCAGGTATTTTGAAAAAAGAAGAAAAATGAAATTAAAATTCCTCAGACTTTAGCTAATTTGATTATAATAGTAACTGCAATTTATAATAAGCGAAGCACCTACATAGTGAAATGAATATTTTCCAATTTTATTAGTCTAATTAAAGCAATATGCAATTTTATCTTCATGTGTTTAAATTATTAAATTAAGTAATGTGATAACAATGAGATATTATCTTGAAGTTCTTCAGTATCTAGATGTCTCAGTTAATAAGCTGTGGTTGTTACTATTACCACTATCACTGGACAATTTCACCGATTAAATCTATAAGTTGTTGATAACATGGAAAAAAATATTAAGAAGAAATAAAGATCATCTGCAATTCCTTCACCAGAAATAATCACTGTTAATGTTTTGGTTGGATTCATATACACAGTCATCATATACAAGTATAACTTGAATATCTTCAGTGATGTTTCGTTTGTTGGAATTGAATTTCTTCTATGTAACAGAAATCCAAGTTCAATGACTTAAGGAAGCAGAGATTTTTCTCACACAGCAAAGAGTACAAAGGTAGGGTATTCAGTGCTAGTGCAAAGTTCAATGATATCATCAGTGTTCAAGAATATATCTATCTTTTGTTCTACTCTAAGTGTGCTTTTCGGTTACAAGGTGGCTGTTACACCACCAGGCATCACAGGATGTACAAAAAAAAAGGTGCAAAGACAAAAACCTTTCCTCGCAACACTTTGCCCAAGAGACAAACATAGGTTTGCAAAAAATAAGCCAAAAAAGATTTTCTAGAAATGAAGGAAAAAAATGTGAATGGGGAAATAATTTTGAAGAAATTACCCAGAATGCAGAATAGAGAAAGCAAGAAATAGAAAATATTAATTAGCTGTTGACACAAGGAGACACTGGAAACAGAAGGTCCAGTATCAGCTTATTTTTCCTGCAAGGAAAAAATAGAGAAATTGGGCAGAGGGTGATGTTTGAACTGATAATGACTGAGGATTTTCCAAATTTGATAAGCTATGAATCCTTACATATCCAAAGACATAAATACTGTACAATGATGACAAAAATCCACACCAAAGGCAAAATGATCTAAAAATAGAATGCAAATGGACATTACCTATAAAATAATAATTTATAGATTCACAACAAGCTCCCCAACTACAATTATGGAAGTCACAAACAGCGATCCAAGACCTTTAAAATGCTGAGGAAAAGTAATTGTCAACCAAAAATTCTGCAACTAGCTAAGTTAGTCAAAAATGAGCAAGAGATAAAAAAAAAAAAGTCAAAATCAAGACTTTCCCCTCAACTTTTTAATGTGAAATTTTCCTAATACAGGAAAACTTGAAAGAATGTTAAATACCTACATATACCCATATATAATTTAATTATTAACATTCTGCTATTTTCACCCTTCATATATGAGGCTTTGCCTTTTTATTCATGAAGGACCCCCTCAGAAGATTCTCGTTACATCTGACTGGACATCACCAAACTCAATGTAAACTGGAAAAATCAAAACATCACTGAACCATTTGAACGTTTCACTGGTAGACATCATGACTCGTCACGCCTAAATAATTTAGCCTACAAGTTTAAAAATAAGGATAGTTTCCTACATGCCCACAATGCCGCCATCATACCTAAAAAAATACTTTCTGTACTCGTATTATTTAATATATAATAATATTCAAAGCTTCCCAGTTGTTCCAAGATGGTTGCTATCTGCTTTTTCAAACCAGAAATCAGTCAAGGTTCATAATTACATTTGGTTGTTATGGGCCTTTATTCTTTTTAAATTTAAAGTAGATTTCTAAATTTGTTGCCATGCCTTTTTTAGGGACTCGGCCAGTTACACTGTAGAATGCATCAATTTGTATGATTGTTTCTACAAGGTGTCATTGAACTTGTTCCTTTAGCGACTCCATGTCCCAGAGAATGGAAGAAATGTCTGCAGGACATGTTCTGGATGCAGAAGTGTAGTGTAGCACGGTGGTTCTCAAAGGGTGGTCCCCAGACGAGTAACAGCGGCATCACTTAAGACCTCATTACAAATGCAAATTCTTGCCCCCAAAGAGATCTACTAAATTAGAAGCTCAAGGGGGGCGGAGCAAGAAGGCGGAGGAGTAGGAGACCTGCATTTCGTCTCCTCTCAGGAATTCAGCTGGATAGGGATCAAACCATTCTGAACACCTACAAACCCAACAGGAGATCGAAGAAAGGAATAGCAACAACTCTCTGAACAGAAAAGCGACCACTTTCTGGAAGGTAGGACGTGCGGAGAAGTGAATCTGAGGCGATATTTGGGAGGATAGGCGGCGGGGGAGGGGCCTCCGTCGGCCGCTTCTGGCAAGTGATAGAGCCGCGGAGCACAAAATCGGAACTTTTAAAAGTCTGCTCCGCCGAGGGACGTCACTCTGGTGGCTAAGCGGGGGGTGGAACCCTCCAGGACAGTGTGGTCTCAGGACCCTCGGGGTCACAGAAAGACCGGGGGTGCCTGAGTGTGGCAGAGCTCCCAGGTAACGGAGCAGGGAAGCCGGCTGCAGAGGCGGAGCGCAGGCGCGGGCTCTCAGCTCGGGGTCGCCATAAACCGGGATCCGCGGCACAGTCGGGCCCCTGCTCCTCCAGCAGGGACCCAGCAAGCGGCAGATCCGGGGAGACTCACCTTCCTCCCCCAGGAGGAGCCGCACAGGAGCGCACCGCAGGGATCTGCTGGGTTTGGAGACTCCACCCGGGGTCGGGTGCCAGAGATAGAAACGCGCAGTCACAGGCCGGGTGAGCACGGAGTGCGCCTGGAGACCGGGGAGATGGGAGTGACTGACGGCTTTTCTCTGGGGGCTCACTGAGGAGCGGGGCCCCGAGTTCTC